CACGAAACGTGTGAGGGGTGTGCCGAAATGGGGGGGGGAGCCGCATGCGAGCGCAGCCACTGGGGCCTTCGGTGGGGCTACCTATGGGGCCACGAAGCGTGTGAGGGGTGTGCCAGAATTGGGGGTGGAACCGCATGCGAGCGCAGCCACTGGGGCTTTCGGTGGAGCTCCCTATGGGGCCACGGAACGTGTGAGGGGTGTGCCGAAATTGGGTGTGGAACCGCATGCGAACGCAGCCACTGGGGCCTTCGGTGGAGCTCCCTGTGGAGCCACGAAACGTATGAAGGGTGTGCCGAAATGGGGGGGGGAGCCGCATGCGAGCGCAGCCACTGGGGCATTCGGTGGAGCTCCCTATGGGGCCACGAAACGTGTGAGGGGTGTGCCAGAACGGGGGGTGGAACCGCATGCGAACGCAGCCACTGGGGCCTTCGGTGGAGCTCCCTATGGGGCCACGAAGCGTGTGAGGGGTGTGCCAGAATGGGGGGTGGAACCGCATGCGAACGCAGCCACTGGGGCCTTCGGTGGAGCTCCCTATGGGGCCCCGAAGCGTGTGAGGGGTGTGCCGAAATCCCACCAACCCTTTGGGCGTGAGTGGTTTAGAGAGCCCGCTCTGTCCTCAACCCCCCTTCTTCCCCTTCGGGGAAGGGTTTACCCCTCCCCCTACCCCCTCCCCCTGGACCTGGAGAGGGGGTGTCGCGGGTCGTTGGAGGGGTCTTTTCCGACTCCTGGGAGGGCTAAAAAAACGACGGCCCTCACGAGGATTCTGGCCCCGACGGGGGGGCGGAGATAGGCCCCTCTCCTCTTCTTTGAAGCCAAGAACATTGATTTTGCGAGGGTTTCGGCACCAGTTTGGCCTCCTGAGGGGGCAGCGCTCCTCGTCCTTCATGCAAAATCATTGATGTTACGAAGGTTTTGAACTCATTTTGTCCTTCTCAGGGGGCAGCTCTCATTTGCGCTTCCGAGGAGGTCGCAAGAGGCACCAAGATGGCCCCAAGATGCCCCCAGGATGCTCCCAAAAGGCTTCCAAGAGGCCCGCCAGAGGCCCCCAAGCGGCCCCAAGAGGCACCCAAGAGGCCCCCAAGAGGCCCCCAAGAGGCCCCACGAGGCCCCAAGAGGCCCCCAAGAGGCCCCCAAGAGGCCCCCAAGAAGAGGCCCCACGAGGCTCCAAGAGGCCCCCAAGAGGCCCCACGAGGAGCCCGAACGACTCACACCAGGACGAGGGGCCCGAACGACTCACACCACGAAGAGCCCGAACGACTCACACCACAAGGAGGGGCCCGAACGACTCACACCAGGACGAGGCGCCCGAACGACTCACACCACGAGGAGCCCGAACGACTCACACCACGACGCGGGCCCCGAACGACTCACACCACGAGGAGCCCGAACGAGTCACACCAGGAGGAGGGGCCCGAACGACTCACACCAGGATGAGGGGCCCGAACAACTCACACCACGAGAAGCCCGAACGACTCACACCAGGACGAAGAGCCCGAACGACTCACACCACGAAGAGCCCGAACGACTCACACCAGGAAGAAGGGCCCGAACGACTCACACCAGGACGAGAAACCCCAAACGACTCAAACCACGAGGAGCGCTTTCTCTCCCTCCTCCTCCGCCTCGTCCTTCTCCCGCTCCCCCACAAGGAGGATGTACAAGGAGGCGGGAGGAAGGAGGAACAGGGGAGATATGCGGGGCCAAGCGGACACACGCCTGAAAAACACGACTGTCGGCATGCTTCGCAAGAGTTGCTGCTGTGAGATGGGCTGGTGGGGATACGCGAAGCGTAAAGAATTGGGGGTGGAACCGCATGCGAACGCAGCCACTGGGGCCTTCGGTGGAGCTCCCTATGGAGCCACGAAACGTGTGAGGGGTGTGCCGAAATGAGGGGTGGAACCGCATGCGAACGCAGCCACTGGGGCCTTCGGTGGAGCTCCCTATGGGGCCACGAAGCGTGTAAGGGGTGTGCAGAGCGCAGCCATTGGGGCCTTCGGTGGAGCTCCCTATGGGGCCACGAAACGTGTGAGGGGTGTGCCAGAATGGGGGGTGGAACCGCATGCGAACGCAGCCACTGGGGCCTTCGGTGGAGCTCCCTGTGGAGCCACGAAACGTGTGAGGGGTGTGCCAGAATGGGGGGTGGAACCGCATGCGAACGCAGCCACTGGGGCCTTCGGTGGAGCTCCTGATGGTGCCACGAAACGTGTGAGGGGTGTGCCGAAATTGGGGGTGGAACCGCATGCGAACGCAGCCACTGGGGCCTTCGGTGGAGCTCCCTGTGGAGCCACGAAACGTGTGAGGGGTGTGCCGAAATGGGGGGCGGAACCGCATGCGAGCGCAGCCACTGGGGCCTTCGGTGGAGCTCCCTATGGGGCCACGAAACGTGTGAGGGGTGTGCCAAAATGGGGGGTGGAACCGCATGCGAACGCAGCCACTGGGGCCTTCGGTGGAGCTCCTGATGGGGCCACGAAACGTGTGAGGGGTGTGCCAGAATGGGTGTGGGAGGGGAGGGAGGGGGCAGCGGGAGGAAGGAGACGCGGGGCACCGTCTCTTCAAAACGAGGACCCAACAACACAGGTTGGTTGGGAAAGAAGAGAGCCCGTTCACGGGCAAATCCGCTTCCCATCAAGGGGGCTACACCCGTGCGGCAAGGCACGAAGGATTCCGCACCGATGGACGAAGGCGCCCGCCCGCCTGGATGTGAGACTGCCTCCTGAGAACCGCCTGGATTCGAGCGTTTGTTCACAGTTTACTTGGGCGCACCCCCCTCCTCCTCCGCATCCCCCTCCTCCTCGTCGTCGTCCTCCTCCTCCTCCTCCCCCTCCTCTTCCTCCTCCTCCTCCTCCTCCTCCTCCTCCTCGTCCTCCTCCTCCTCCTCCTCCTCCTCCTCCTCCTCCTCCCCCTCCCCCTCCCCCTCCTCCTTTGGGCGCACTTGTTCACAGACCGCCTCGCCACAGGATCTGGCCCATTCCCATGGTCGTTGACGGCCTCCTCTGCGGGTCTGCGATGCTGGCCACAGGACCCCCCGGATGCGCCCTGGAGCACCCTGGGCCCCCCTGGGGGCACCTCTCCCGGGGCCCATCACCCCGCTGCATCCTCTTCTTCTTCTTCTTCTTCTTCTTCTTCTTCTTCTTCCCGCCCACCCTCTCCTTGCCCCCTGCGCCTCCTCTTCTTCTTCTTCTTCTTCTTCTTCCCGCCCACCCTCTCCTTGCCCCCTGTTACCAGCCTCGAACGTATCCCTATCCCTAAGATTGACACGCCAAAGGGCGATGACAATCTCGGGGATTCGCCCTCAGAACAATAAGGGAATACCTAAGATTGGCATCGTGATGAGGAGGTGCCCAGCATAGGGATAGGGATATGTTCCAGGCTGGTAATCCTGCGCACCTGCTTTCCCCCCTTCCGCCGCGTCTCCTCCTCCCGAAGCGGTTCGGAGCGGGTCCCCCGACCCCGTCCCGGGGTCCATCCTGGCCAGGTGCGTGAGCGGCGCCCATCCGCAGCGACGAGAGCCTCTAGAGCCACTCGGCTTCTCAACAAAATTACACTGGACAGGGACCACGACGTCCAGACGTCTTGTCGTCTTCATCCCTTGTCGTCCAGCGGGACCACCCCCTGCGCACCCCCTCTGGTGTCGAGAAAGTGCCACGCCTGTGGCACGCACAGTGCCAACGCCGAGGGACCGCGCCCTGCGCACCCTCGCTGGTGTCGAGAAGGTGCTACGCCTGCCGCGCCTTCCGACCCTGGCACGCAGAGAGACCGCGCCGAGGGACCACCCCTTTGCGCACCCCCTCTAGCGTCGAGAAAGAGCCACTCCTGCCACGCTCTCCGACCCTGGCACGCATAGAGACCGCGCTGAGGGCCCCCCACCCCTGCGCGCCCCCATCTGGTGGTGAGAAAGTGCCACGCCTGCCACGCTCTCCGACCCTGGCACGCATATAACCAGCGCGGAAAGACCACCCCCTGCGCACCCCGAATGTGCCACGCCTGCCGCGCTTTCCGACCCTGGCACGCACAGAGCCAGCGCCGAGGGACCACACCCTGCGCACCCCTTCTGGTGTCGGGATAAGTGCCTCGCCTGCCAGGCTTTCCGACCCTGGCACGCATAGAGCCAGCGCCGAGGGACCCCCTCGGGTATCGAAAATGCCACGCCTGCCACGCCCTGCGAATCTTGCGCGTAGTTGTGTTGTGTGGTGTGCGTGTCATGTGTATGATGCGTGTGCGGCTGTACCTGGACGTGTGTCTCATGTGGGTGCCCAATATGTGGCGCATACGCCGTGGGTGTATGATGCAATGAACACGACAAGCGTGCACTGGCGTTTTTAGTGTGTGTGTGTGTGTGTGTGTGCGCGTGCGTGTGCAAGTGTGTACATGCGTGCGGCTGTATGTACTCGCGTGTCGCATGTACGTGCCGTGCATGTGTTGCGTGTGGGTGAGGGGATGCAAGAAGAGGTCGAGGGGCAGGGGAGCGCGGGTGTGTGAGTGAGACGCGCGTGCGACGCGGGTGGGAAGAAGACCGCAACCCCACGAAACGTGTGGGGAACAGCGACGACCGCCAGACTGCTCTCTTCGCCCCCCCCTCCTCCGCCGTTCCGCCCTCCTGCCCCCCCTCCCATCCGCCGTTCCCCCTGCCGCTCCGCCCTCTTGCCGTTGCGCCCCTGCTCCGCCGCTTCGCCCTCCTGCCCCCCCCCCTTCTTCCTCGCCCCCCCCCTCTGCCGCCGGCCCGCCCTCCTGCCGCCCTCATTGATCGGCTACACGTAGGAGTGACCCTCCTCCTCCTCCTCCTCCTCCTCCTCCTCCTCCTCCTCCTCCTCCAGTGACCTTTGGTGCGCGGCTTTTTGGGGGCCGCGCGGGGGCCAAACCCAAGCGCGCAAGACGCCACTGCCGCCTCGCGTTCGGCGATAGGGGACCCCAATGGGCCCGCACCAAAGGTCGCTCCGGCGAAGGGTCACTCTTACGTGTCGTCGAATTGACGCCCCCTCCCTCTCCGCGCCCGGGCGCACCGCCACCCCCCGCTTCATCCTCGGGTTCGACGCCTGGGCGCGGCGGGAGCGGGACGGGGCCGTGGGCGGCGCATGCTTCTTCAGCTCAGTGCGCAAGACACATCCCTCCTCGCCACTTCCCTCCCCGACCTCCTTGATGCCCGAGGACCGAAGACGAAGGATCGACGAGTAGGGGTCGTCGTAGCAGTAGTCGGGTACTTCATTCTCGCAACAGTAAGAAGAACGGTGTAGCAGCAGTGGGCGAAGAGCAAGGTAGTGGTCATAGTAGTCGTGGTGGTGGAAACCGTGGTGATAGTCATGCACACATAAGAAAAGCAGGGCCGTGGTAGTGGTAATACTACTACTAATGGTGGTGTGGTGGTCGTAACATTGGCAGCAATAGTGAAGTGTCGGTTAGCGGTAGTTTTGGTAGAGATAGAGGTCGCAGGAATGACAGTAGCGTTGGTAATGGTGATGTGGCCGTAAAGACAAGAAATGTGGTGGTGGTGGAAACACTGGGAAGTGTCCGTATTGGTATTCGCCGCAGTAGTGGTAATATCAATCGTAATCGTAAAAGTAATACCAGTAGTAGTAGCACGGTAGTCACAGTGTCGTATCAGTGGTCGCCGTGGTGATGTTAGTACGAATGATACCAGCGGTCGTACTAGTAATGGTGAAGGTAGCAACAATAATACCAGCAGAAATAGACTTGACTTTTCGTGATAGTAGCAATGGTCGCCAGAGTCATCGTAATGACAATAAACGTGTCACGATCGTAGCAGGGTCGTAATAGCGGTAAGCGTGGCAATGACAAGACAAATGCACAATAGTCTGGCGAAAGGCCCGGCCATGTGCAGTTGTGGGCACTGTCGTTGTATGCGCCGCGTTCGGTGGAGCTCCCTATGGGGCCACGAACCGTGTGAGAGGTGTGCCAAAACAGTGCGGTGACAGCATGCGAGCGCTTGCATCTGGGACTTCGGTGGGGCCCCCTTCAGGGGCAACGACACATGGGACTGGTGTGCCACAATGGGCACGGTGGCCGCATGCGATCGATGCCACGCGGGCCTCCGGCTGAGCTCCTGATGGGGCCACGAAACGTGTCAGGGGTGTGCCACAGTGGGCGTGGTGGCCGCATGCGAGAGCTTGCATCTGGGCCTTCGGTGGGGCACCCTTACGGGGACACAGTGAGGGGCGTGCCAAAATGAGCGAGGTGGTGTCATGTGAGCGCAGCCACTGGGGCCTTTGGTGGGGCTCCGTATGGGACCACGAACGGTGTGAGAGGTGTGCCAAATTGGTGCGGTGGCGCCATGCGGGCGGTGTCACTGGGGCCTTTGGTGGAGCTCGTTATGGGCCACGGAACGTGTGACGAGTGTGCCGAAATGGGTGCGGTGGCGCCATGCGGGCGGTGCCACTGGGCTTTCGGTTGGGGCCCCAATGGGGCCACGGAGCGTGTGAGGGGTGTGACGACACTGTGGACCTGCGGAAAGCAGAGGCACGATGCTGACCTCGATGGTGACGATGGTGTGGATAATGGCGATGACGAGGGTAATGGCGCTGAAGATGACGACGCACGGTGGTGACTTGCAGAGGGCAGAGGCAAGGATGGGAGGAGGGGGAGGAGACGGACGGATGGGAGGAGGAAGGGAGGGATGATGAGCGAGGAAGAGGAGGAGGTGACGCGGGGTGCCGTCTCTTCAAGATAAGGACCCAACACCACAGGATGGTAGGGAAGAAGGGGTGTTCCAGCACCACCAATAGTAGTAGTAGTAGTAGTAGTAGTAGTAGTAGTAGTAGTAGTAGTTGTAGTAGTAGTCGTAGTAGTAGTAGTAGTAGTAGTAGTAGTAGTAGTAGTAGTAGTAGTGGTGGTGGTGGTGGTGGTGGTGGTGGTGGTAGTAGTAGTAGTGGTGGTAGTAATACACGTAATCGTAATCGTAAGCGTGGTAAGAGTAGTAGTCGTCGTGCCGTCGTTGTCGTCGTAGGGATAGTAATCGTAGTGCTCGTAATAATCGTAGTCGTAGTAGTAGTAGTAGTAGTAGTAGTAGTAGTAGTAGTAGTAGTAGTAGTCGTAGTAGTAGTAGTAGTAGTAGTAGTAGTAGTCGTAGGAGTACTAGTAGATGTGTGGTGATAATAGTAGTAGTGGTCGTAGTCGTAACAATACAAATAAAATTATTGGTAGTCGTAGTCGCAATAAACATAATAGTTATAGTTGTGGTCGTAACGGTCGTAGTAGTAGCAATCTTATTCGTCGTAGGAGTAGTCGTAGTAGTCGTAGTAGTAGTAGTAGTAGCAGTAGTAGTAGTAGTAGTAGTAGTAGTAGTAACAGTAGTAGTAGTAGTAGTGGTAGTAGTAGTAGTAGTAGTAGTAGTAGTCGTAGTAAGAATCATAGTAGTAGTCGTACTAGTAGTAGTAGTAGTCGTCGTAGTCGTAGTCGTAGTCGTAGTAGTAGTAGTAGTAGTAGTAGTAGTAGTAGTCGTAGTAGTAGTAGTAGTAGTAGTAGTAGTCGTAGTCGTAGTAGTAGTAGTAGTAGTAGTACTAGTAGTAGTAGTAGTAGTAGTAGTAGTAGTAGTAGTCGAAGTAGTAGTAGTAGTAGTAATAATAGTAGTAGTAGTAGTAGTAGTGGTAATCGTCGTAGTCATAGAAGTCATAGTAACAGTAGCCGGAGAAATAAATAAAATCAATAATAACAATCGTCGTCGTAGTAGTATTAGGAATAGTAGTAGTAATCGCAATAGTAGTCGCAAAGGTGATCACCAGAGTAGTCATATGAAGAGAAATAGTAGTAGTAGTAGTAGTAGTAGTAGTAGTAGTAGTAATAGTAGTAGTAGTAGTAGTAGCAGTAGCAGTCGTGCTACTAGATGAGTAGTAGATAGTAGTAGTTAGTAGTAGTTCGTTAGTAGTAGTCGTAGTAAGTAGTAGTAGTATGTCGTGTAGTAGGGAGTAGTTAGTAGTAGTATAGTAGTAGTTGTAGTAGTAGTAGTAGTAAATAGTAGTAGTAGTAGTAGTAGTGGTAGTCGTAGTATTAGAGTTAGTAGTAGTAATAGTAAGGGTGGTATAGTAGTAGTAGTAGTAAGTAGTGTAGTAGTATAGTACTCGCAGTACTAGTACTAGTAGTAGTCGTAGTAGTAGTAGTAGTAGTAAGTTAGTGTAATAGTAGTAGTAGTTAGGTTAGTAGTGTTAGTAGTAGTAGTAGTAGTAGTAATAGTAGTAGTAGTAGTAGTAGTCGTAGTAGCGATAGTAGTAGTAGTAGTAGTAGTAGTAGTAGTAGTCGTTGTAGTAGTAGCAGTCCTCCGAATGAAAATAATAGCCGGCATGCTCACAATGAAGGAAGTCGTACAAATCGTACTCGCAAAAGGAAGTATTAGCCGTAGCCGTAGCCGTATGAATAGAATTGATAAACATAGAAGCAGTGGTATTCGAAATCGTAGTCGTAGTGGCCGTCGTAGTAGTAATAATAATAGTAGTGGTAGCAGTATCAGTAGTAGTAATAGCAGCAATCGTAGTAGTAGTAGTAGTAGTAGTAGTAGTAGTAGTAGTCGTAGTCGTAGTCGTAGTCGTAGTAGTAGTAGTAGTAGTAGTAGTAGTAGTAGTAGTAGTAGTAGTAGTAGTAGTAGTAGTAGTGATGGTAGTCGTAGCCGTAACGATCGTCTTATTATTATTAGTAGTAGTAGTCGTGAGCGTAGTAATACTGGTTGGGGTAATAATGGTTGTAACTGTTAAAGTAAGAGTAATAATAGCCGCAGCCGTAGGAGGAGTAGTACTACTAGTAATAATAGGAATCGTAATAGGTAGTAGCGGTAGTAGTAGTAATATTATTAGTAGTTGCATTAGTAAGTAATCGAATTGCGTAGTATTAGTGGTCGTAGCAGCCGTAGTCGCAGAAATAGCTTCAGCAACCATAGTAGTAACACTAGTCGTGGTAATCGTGGTAATCCTAAAACTAGTGGTAGAAATAACAGTCGTAGCAGTAGTGGTGGCAACAGTAACCGTAGTAGTCGTAGTCGTAGTAGTAGTAGTAGTAGTAGTAGTAGTAGTAGTAGTAGTAGTAGTAGTAGTTGTAGTAGTCGTAGTAGTAGTCGTAGTAGTAGTAGTAGTAGTAGTAGTAGTAGTCGTGCTAGCAGTAGAGGCAGCAGCCATAGTAGCAGTAGTAGTGGTAGTAGTAGTAATAGAAGTAATAATACAAATAGTAGAAGCAATAGTCGTAGTAGCAATCGTACTCGTAGTAGTAGTCGTAATAGCAATAGTATTGGCCATCGTAGAGGTAGTAGCCGTAATATTCGTAGTAATCGTCGAAATAGTAGTAATCGTAGTTGTAGGCGTAGTCGCAATAATAGTAGTCGTAGTCGGAGTCATAGTAGTAGTCGTGATCGTCGTAGTTGCATCAGAAGTACGTAGTAGCACTCGTTGTAACAACAGTAGCAGCAGTGGAAGTAATAATAGTCGGTGCAACAGTAGTAGTAGAAATAATACTAGCAGTCGGAGTGGTAGCGATAGTACTAACAATGGTAGTGCGCGCGCTGGTAGGAGTAGCAGCAGTCGGCGCAGCGGTAGTCATAGTCGTCGGCGTCGTCGTTGAAGCGTATAAGGTAGTAATAAGAATAACAATCGCAGAAAGATAATAGTAGTAGTCGTAGTAGTGCTAGAAGAGGTAGTGCTACTAGTTCTTCTCAGGCTGCTCGTAATCGTAATAGTTGTAGTGGTAGTGGTAGTAGTAGTAGTAGTAGTAGTAGTAGTAGTAGTAGTAGCAGTAGTAGTTGTAGTATCAGTCGTGGTCGTAGTCCTAGCCAGAATACGGGAGCGACAACAAACTAATAATAATACCAAGAACAATCGTAATATGCATACTGCGAATGTTAGTCGTAGTTTCGGCCGTCGTAGTAGTAATAAAACTGGCGGTCGAAGTCGTAGCAGTCGTAGGGGTAGTCGCCGTGATTAGTAGTAGTCGTAGTAGTAGTAGTAGTAGTAGTAGTAGTAGTAGTCGTAGAGGCAGTCGTAGTAGTAGTAATACCCGTATTGGAAATCGTACTAGTTGCACTCGTCGTAGTAATCCTTGTGGT